GTTTGCGCCAATCTCGCCAAGAGCCGCTTAACTCTAGAGGTGGAGGATCTATCCATGGCCGTAAAGGACTGCCAACCGGTTCTCCAGAAGCTCAACCACCCTGACTGTAGGTGTCACAACTACCTGATGAGTGACTGGCGCTAATCGCAAGACCTGCAGTAGAGGATTTACCAGAATGGCTCAGCCAGCTTGACCCCGAGATAAATCAAGATAGAAACAACTTGACCTGGTGCCGCGTCGCATACGAGGCCCAAGAATACGAGGCTATGGATAAGCTGAGCTCGATCATTGGAGTGTCGGACATGCCAGTCCTAACCCTGCCGTTCGTCCAGCTGCGACATTCCGTACGGTGCCTGGCTCGCCAATACCAGGCCTGCAAGGACTTGATTGAAGATGGAGGGAAGCTGAAGGGTCTGCTGCTGAGCAAATTCCATGTGCGCATGGTGGCACCTCCTGAACCCGTGCCGCCCCCGAAGCTGGATCCTAGTACAACCTTCGACGTGATTACGAGGCGGCTTATTGAAACAAGTCCTCTGAGGAGAGAAATCGAGGCTGCCTTCTCGCGATTAAAGAAGAGCCGTCCGGACATCGAAGAAAGGATCAAAAAGCAGTACGGTGAGGGGATGGCGGTGCCCAGGGTTCCTAGCGAGGTGCAGATCCTGGAACATTTCTACAAGAATCGTCTCAAGTATTCCATGGGCGAGAGCTCCATGGGTATCAGCAAGCCCTCGTGCCTTTGCTCGCAGGCTTACTTTCGACACCACCCTGCCGCGTCTGCCAGCCCAAGTACAAACGGGGAGTTGTGCCAGAGCTGGAGCCCCTCGCTGGTACAAGAGGGGAAGTCTGATGAGAACTTCCTTCTGCAGAACAAACTGCTCGAGAAGGTTCATTCTGATATCCGCCAGCGTGTGCTTCAGAGGATCCTACAGGTAGATCAGTTGGGAGTTTCAGATGGGGCTGTTGATGAGGGCGTCGCCGGTGGGAAGTCTGTGGACGCGGATTACCCTGGTTTGAATGAGCACGAGTCAAAAGAAGACTGGCTTCTTGTGGGAGATGAGAGTGATGAAGAAGGTGGGACTTCTGTCTAGCGGGACTATTATGCTGGTACGTCATATACCTCTTTGAATAGGAATTGACATCTGTTGGAAATATAGTTGATGCTGAGTTACCTCTGTCTGGTGCTAGCTTTCATTTTTGGTTGGAAATCGGAGAATGCTTATAATTCACCCGTCTGCTTCAAGATGTCATTTGGATATAATAAGTCTATTGTTACTAAACAAGGAGATTTTAATAGGAGTGGAGTGAAGTGTACATGGTGCCAGCTTACTGATTGCCGACTGCTTCTTGAAGATGAATCAATATCGTCTTCTGCCTCTCCTCCAGCCAGCCTGCCACACCGTCGGCAGAAGTTTCGGGATTCTTCTCCTCGCTCGTTTGACCATCTGCGCCCTCCATATAATCTTGGACGAGAGATGTTTGCATTTCTCCGTATACGACAGCCACAAATGCCCTCATTACGACCCACGCTACATTCATCCCAAGACACATCCTAGGCCCGCTTCCAAAGGCGAGGAAATGACCCTTCATATCCTTGGCCACACCTTTTGAGCCTCTTGTAGGACTTTCATGGTCCTCTGTGGTTAGCCAACGATCGGGGACCCATCTTCGTGCGTCATTAAACACGCTTTCTTTCCTTTGCATTCCCATCACCTCAGCGCTGACCTGCCACCCAGCTGGGATAAGCTGGCCATGAACAATCAGGCCTTGCTCATCCACGATCTTCCTTTCCATACTGAAAGGGATTGGCGGGTGGATCCTCAGTGTCTCGCGGATGACCGCGTTCAACAATGGCAGTCGCTTTAGCCTTTCTGCCGTCAAATCTGCAGCTGAAGAAACTCCAGACTCAGCAATGGCAGCTCTGATCTCACCCCTTAGCCGCTGTTGAAGAGTCCTGTTCTCTGGCAGGGAGAGACGACGGAACAAAGGTGCTAAACCATCAGCTGTTGTGCTCACACCAGCCCAGAATTGATCCAAAGAGTCACTCAGGATATACTCCTCTGAGGGTACAGCCGCCGTGGGACCGTTTGCCCGGAAATGGGCATAAAGACGGCTCATGAGTGATTGGTATTCATCATCCCCTCCGCCATTTTCATCTGTAAGTTTCAATGCGTCTAATGCCTCCCTTCCGATCTGGTCCGAGAACAACATGGAAGGTGTTGTTCCATCCATGGCTCCCGGCGCAAGGCCACAACGCCGAAGCCAGAGCGTGATTCTCGGCAGCAAGAACATCATAGCCCCATCCGCACTGGACATTCGCGCCTCCTGAAACTCGGTGTCCATTTCCATCGCTGTCCTTTGCGCTTGGTCCTTCACTAAGTTCAATCGGCTGTTGGGACCATACACAATGAAGCTCATGGCATCGTAAAGCGCAGGCCGTAGCAGCTCACGAATCTCCACCACCGAGCCACCACCAGGGCTCTTCTTCCCTATCCGTGAAGCTAATCGCAGCATGTCTCGGGCAGCGCGCATGGTTACGTCGGTGACCTCCTTTGACTCTGCCATCTTGGCTGAGTACATGCTCCTGAGTGGCTTTCTTCGTTCGTGGTGCACATCTCCGCGCACGGTAGACACAAGATTCTCCTCCCGGTAGTTGTGGAACGCAGGCAAGGGGTCAGGTCGGTCCAGGCGCTGGGAGACGACGGAGATGTCCCTCAGTCCGCTCAGATCGTTGACAGAGACGTGACGCGGAGCGACTTGGACCAGAGGCCCGAAATTTTGGTGAAGTGCCTCGACGAAGGCCTCGCGAGAGCCAGTTAATTCATGGTATTGGAGCGGGATGCTGGTGAGCTTGAGGAGGCGAGGTCCTGGAAATGGGGATCTGAGCCGTCGGAAAGCGAGGGTGCTTGTGGCCAGGACGATGGCGCATGCGACGGTGGACGGAGAGGAGAGCAAGGCTACCGCCGGGGCAACGTAGGGTACGGGCATGATTCAAATTGACCAACCGTCACATCTTTTTCAGGTTGAGGAAACGTCCATTGTTCGTGGTGCGTTTGTCGCGGCTTATTATGAGCCTGAGTTCTGCCCGTTTCGAGGCAAATGCGACGAATACGCCCAGACCCGCTAGGAAAGAAGAACTTTGACTGAGTATCCAATCGGGGAAAGCTATGATGAATAACTTGGTTATCAACGACTTGGCGCGACAGTTCATGCAAAGGTCGTTTACTATCACGTGATGAATTATCGCAGCCACAGTCTCGGCTTCAATTGAAAGCCTCTCAGCCAGGTGTTTATTAGACAAAATTATGTATATGTACTAGTAGATAAGGGGATTTGGGGACTGTTCAGAATTTTACTTGTAGATTTTTGGGCAACTACCTACCGGAGCTCGAAGTTATGGTCCGTGGTGCGGGAGTGTCAGTAAGAGATGATAATGATGAATGTTCCATTGTTCGGTAAAATAGGTTGTTTGTTCACCATTTATTATTACAGCGAAAGAAACCCACAGAGCTGAGGACCCTCCAAAGCCTTCGATTTTCTTGTTTTATGTTCATTTAAACGCCTCCTTTCACTTTGTACCACATAAGCAAATCTGGCAAGACAGCATCCGTCTTGTCGCTGGAATTTTTTGCCTTTCATACATAGCATTCATTCGATTGACCATCGCTAACTCTAAAATGCAAATAGCACACGTAACTTCCATTTAAGGGGCGCATGACCGTGTCAAGGTTTCGCGCGTCAGCCTCCATACGCCCCTTTTGTTGTGACTCACACGGCATGAGCTCAGCCTTCCAACCAACCAAAAAGAGAGCTTCAGGGCCAAACCGTGAATTGAACACGGGTCTCACGCAGAATGAATTTCTTCCAAAGCGTGGATTCTACCACTAAACTATTTGGCCTTTTGTTCTTGTTGATGGTTTTGAAGTTGAACTGCCTTATCAAGGTTGTCTGTGGCCAACACCCCTGCGGCCCGGCTCCCTCGATGTACGAGCCTTTAGCACCAAAAGCGCCCAGAAGTCAAGGATTAGGCTTGAAAGCATGATGTACCTAATTTAATTAGAGTGCCTGCTGGGTATTACATGTTCTGTGACATAGTCTTTGATGAATACCTCTGTTTCCTCTCTATTCTAGTTTCGCTCAAATACCCGCCCTCCGTGGTGCCTTCCGCAAAATACTTTTGAAACAAGCTCATCCTTGACACTTATAGCCACCCTATGTGCCTTCTGGACCAGGAGAGAAGGGACATCACCTCGATGAGGAAGAACGACAACGTCCCGGTCTTTGTTACCCAGCGACAAAGACCCTGGTGCCCAAGAAGGATTACAAAGACGCACGAGGCACGGGCCATAACTGAGCCTCTCGAGGACAAATTCTGATGTATAGAATCTAAAATAAGGATCTTGGGTCATAGCGGGTAGGCACGAGATTTTCCAGGATGATATATGGACGTTCGTGGTCGTGGTTCGGAGGTGTTGTGAGTCGTTCAATTTTGAGTTTTTTATCACCTCGTTAGATATCTACAACACACGATTCTTTCTTGGAAGGCACGTTCAAAGATACGGTAAAGCAACTCGAGAAATATTGGAATAGGCCAAGACAAAGCTGTAGGTTTTCAAAGGTTATACAAAATTCTGTCTGACTACGTCTGATGAGGTAACTCTTGTTATAGAGAAACACACCCGAGGAAAGACTTAGTACGCTGAGAGGACGGAGAAATCATGAAATCACAGTGAAGCGACGAGGATATAAGATAATGTAGTTTCAGTCATAGAATCTTTTGATTGAATCTCAATCTACCTATTCATGCTTGAACAAGAGAGAAAAAAATAACCGAGAAGTTCCATTCGATGCATGAACTACTCCTCAGATGCGGTTCAGCCCAAAATCAAGAGCACTGTTTCAAATTCCCCCTGGAATATTGAACGCAAACTCCAAGCTGTGCGGATGGAAACAAAGTGTGGCGGTTAGTGCAGATTTGGCCTAGCCAGCCGGCACACCTGGAGCTAGAGACAACCTTCATCCTTCATCTTTTGAATGAAAACATCGGTCCAGTCCCGGAAGTTTTTCTGGGAATATGTTCGGTCGGCGCGGGCCATGTTAAGCACCTCCTGGGCCTTGGATTCGCTGACGTAGCCGAACGGTACCTGGTGCCAGTCCGAGTAGGCTTCTTTGAGTTTAATTCCCTCTTCGATGATCACTTGGCTGGTGCCATTCTGGGTGACGTGCCGAATAAAATCTCCTGAAACGTCACTCAGCTCCTTCATGATAAAGATGCCGTAGGTATCATCTTTAAAATAAACGCGGGATACCCGGTAGTTGGCCATCTTGCAAAAAACTATAGTGCTCTGAAAATTTGCGATGAGGTGTCTTTGCTTTTGCTTTTGGTAAGGGCTCTTGAGGTTTGTTGGTGATGATGAATGTAAGGAAAATCGTCTCAGAAGCTCGAGGAGGCCGTCCTATTTATATGGCAATTGGGAGGTCGGCTGTTACTTGAAATTCGTGACATTTGGAACTTGTTGTTCCTGATCTTGTTCATCTCATGTTCCGGCCAGCCTGTACCGCCAGCCTTTGTTCAGAACAACCTCACTTTGGCTAGATAACTAAGAAGTCTTAATTTGCAACTCTCATCCCGTCTTTTTGAACATTCACATCATTGCCCGGCTCTTTGAGAACATCCTAAGATTTATTACGAGACTCGCCAATATTGAACCCAGATATTGCAAGACACTGCGCATGTTTATTCTTCTTTGTTAGCTCGAAGTAAAATGAATCTATATGCAAAGAATTTCAATTTCTTAACATTTGGAAACGGCTATCATCTTGACTATTTATTGTAGAGTCTGATTCGCAGTAAAATAGGAACTGAATGAGTTGATAACATACTCTAATCACCCACCACTTTTGTGCGTTTTCAGCCAATCCCGATTATCCGGGCTTGTTGTACCTCTTCTGGGTTTTTCAAGTGGATACAAAGTGTCAGTGATTTGATTGTGAACTGCTGGTGGTTGAAGCATCCTGTTCGGAGGTTAATAGTTGAGTCAACCTGTAAGAGGTAGTACATAACGTAAGTTCCTATTAAGCACCTACAGATGAGGTAAAATTTTACACTGAATCATGCATAAGCGAACCGTTAGAGATTCTGTTACCCAAAACTGCAGAGGTGGTGTTACAGAACAAGGACTCATTGTATTGTAGCCCTACCGGTGATTATATAAGCAGTGAAACGTAGGACAGCTTCAGACAACGCATCATAAAGACGGATAAAGATTTGCATACTATGGAACTTTCAAGGTACAAGACATTGTCATGCCAAGTGGGTGAAATAAAACATGGCACATCAAAGCTCTTTCCGCGTAAGACAAGGACCTCTTTTTTAACTAAATACACTAAAAAGAGAATAATAAGAGAATAATAAACTATTCTACAATATTCAGCTTGATATTAGGTTCTTTATTGTGATATTGTATTGAAATTCAGTGCTGAACTATCTCGATGTGCCATGTTTTATTTCACCCACTTGCATGCTTAGGAGTCAGTAAGCGTTAGGGACCCCAGACCTCGATGGCGTTGGACATCATCGCCAGCATGAGGGGGAAATAGCCAGCCCTACCAGTAACTACCTACTATTTTTGGTGTGTGGCGATTCGCGATCGGTTTCTGGAAATATTGTTTGACATGGCTGACCGCAGTTTGCCACGCTAACTGCCAAAGTTATGCATTGCGGCGAATAGCGATCTTCTTATGTCTGCCGTGGTTCCCACATTATGGTTGATTAGCACGTATAGAAAGCCGCAAGGCTTCAGGGATCGGACTCCTTCAATGCTGGATACTCCGCCAGCTGCTGGCTGAAACGCGCTTGAAGAAATGTGCTGCTCCATATTAATCTGGACGTTATTAATAAATGCCCCCTCTTCATTCTTCTCAGTCCATCAAACTGTCTCGTTACTATTGAGATCTCACTCTCAAGACGTGAGTTAGAGGTGAGCATGGGGTCATCAGCAACCCGGTCCATCGGGCTGTGGACCTGGGAAATTGCTTCCCTCGTCGCGTCGATAGCACAGTTTGTTGCCATGATTGCTATCCTGGTCTCCTTTGACGGCAAGGAAATATTTGATGGCCCGCTTGTCACCCTTAACACTGTCGTGTCGATCCTGGCACTCGGGTCCAAGGCATCGCTTTTGACATTAGTCGCGAACTGTATCAGCCAAGCCAACTGGTCCCTTTTCTCCGGACCACCGCGTCGCCTGTATGATTTTGAAATCGTGGCCGACGCAAGCCGTGGGCCTCTGGGCAGTTTGCGACTGCTCATCAGCCGAAGCTTCAAGGGAGGGTGAGAGATGGAGAACTCGATCATGCAATAGACGGTAGAAGGAGAGACGTTGGCTAACAAAACTCTTCCCAGAGCTATTGTGCGCGCAGGCGCGTCGATTACCATATTGGCCATAGGCCTGGGCCCGTTTGCCCAGCAACTCATCCAGATTGAGCAAAGACAGGCGGTGGAGGATGGTGGAAGATTTGCACGAGCTCAATACTATGATCTGTCTTATGCAAAGTCTACCGAACTCAATCTCATGGAGGATGAAGCTGAGAGCTATGTTGCTGTCACCACGACACCAGTCAACTTCGGGATGCAGGCCGCTGTGATGTATGGCCTGACCGGCAAAACAAAACTTATTTTGCAACAGTCTGACTACGACTGCCCCGGCAGCCACTGTCAGTTCCCTGGGGTTACTTCTCTAGCTGTATGCAGCAAGTGCGTCAACCTTGAGTCCTCTCTGGAAAAAAGCGAGAAAGAAAACAGCACTGTCTTTTCGGTCGCCCTACCAAACGGGATTACATGGCAAGAGGTTGGAACTGCGACAAAATTTACACTTCCGAATGGGCTGTTTTTAGACAACCTCCATAATCCACAGAAACGGCAAAGGATTCTCATGACAATGCTTGGGACATCAAATTCGAGCAAAACAGTTGCAATGAAAGACATCGACACCCTCATCTGGTCGCAAAGCATAATCAAGATGAATAACGAAACTGGATATCTTGCGAAGAATGAGAGTTGGACAGACCCAAAGGCCGAAGCAACGGAGTGTGCCCTCTACTACTGTGCAAAGGATTACGAGTTTGAAGCCCGAAACGGCACACTCATGGCCACATCTTTGGTGGTCAATGAAGCTTATAAACGGAACCCAAACTCATGGAAGCTAGACGATGAAGCCAACATGGTTGGATCAGAATTTGCTCCACCGCCTTTGCCAGCCGAGCAACAGGAGAGCTTGGCTTTCCATAGAAACTATTCTTGGTACACCCGTTCTGATCTTCAGCTCTCGAAGGATTTTACGAAAGATGAGGGCTGGAATATTACCCAAACAGCCGTTGAAGTTGTCAATTACATCGCCCAAAGCGTCTTCTCAACCTGCAAACCAGACGAGAAGAAGAACTGTTCAGCCGTAGCGGAGGATCGAGGCGCGCCGACAGGTTATCTTAGTGATCAGTATCGAACAACAAACCTGAGATACGATCCCGAAGTAGCGCAGATTCTCTGGGACTCCAAAGACATCCCCCAGACCTTTGAGAATCTCGCCATGAGTATGAGCAATACGATTCGCGCTGGAGATAGCATGCAATCCACTGATGAGGGCAAAGTTCTCCATTATGTCACTGTGTACAAGATTCGGTGGGTTTGGGTTGTGCTTCATGCTACTGTCGAGGTTTCTGCGGCCATGTTCCTCATCTTAACTCTGTTGTACAAGTTCCCTACAGGAGGGAGAATTCCAGTGTGGAAGTCGAGCGAAATGGCGGCGATGTCAAAGGGAAGTCAAGTTTCGAGTGTTTTCAAAGGTGCACGCACCCTGGAGGAACTGAACAACCGAGCAAAGGAAGCTTCCGTCAAATTGGTCATCAAAGACGGCGAGCCCAGCGAATTCGTAGGGGAGGAATATATGCAAATGGTTGGGAAGCAACATGGCTCACAAGAATACCTGGGTCAGGGGAAGCAAAATCAGTCACAAGAATACTTAGGACATGGGAATTGAGTGGCAAACAGCACAAGAGTATGCAGTAACGTCAGTAGACATGATTATGAGCTTGGTGAACATCGCATATCAACATGATCTTTTCAGAATGCGAGACGGATGAAATAGCTTATCCTATTTCAAAAGGAATTGGTCGCCAACATAATATCCATAGCCCTCCATGGACTCATCTTTCGGCAAGTCTTGGACTGCTTGTCCGTCCATCATGCCATGTACGTATGCCTCACTGGAAACTGTGTCAGCTACAGTCTGATGGAATAGTGTAGGGCACTTACCCGATGAACTCAAAGTCTTTGCCATTGTTGTCAGCTTTTGGACGCAGAACGCAAGGCCAGCAAAAACCGAAGAGGATAGCGATCACATCGCCCTCCATCACCTTATGGTTGGCCAGACCCATGTAGTTGGTGTCAGTGAGGAAAAACCTCCGCTCACAATATGCGTCCAGAATCGCCTGCAACCACCCGTTGTCATATCCCAGTGCGTAGAACTTTTTAAGAACCTGATTCCGCATAGCTTTGTCTTCGGGAGTAGCCTGCGACATTTGCGTGACGTCGAAGAAGTCCATATATGTCTCAACGTATCTCTCCATTGAGATTTCCTTCTCTTTCAAACCCTTGCTCAAAAGGCCGCCCAATATCGTAAGCCCGAAGGCTTCCTTGACGTCTTCGCTAGTTGGGTATGTATCTAGTCTTTCCATACAATCCCGGTAGACTTCGCGGAGCCCACTGTTCTGGAACAAGTCGCCAAAATGACAATACTGACTCCTGTAGGTGACCTTGCCGATGATCTTGCCCTGTACAGCCAGAGCATATGGATCGCTCGTGGGGATATACTTATATGTACCATTCCTATGAGAATTGATCTTGAATGGCCTCCCGATCCTCCACTCGCAGCCGTGTCCAGTTTTTTGCCTCCAATCTGGGACCCAGCTCGGCCAGCCTGGTTCGTTGCTTGGCTGTCTTGCTGCCCATATGAGATCAACGCCATTCATGATATCTGTTCTGAAGATCATATCGGCCGCATTCGTGAATACGTCCTTGACAGACAGGGAATAGTCTATGGCAATCTGCCTGTGATCTCCGAAAATGCCATCCAGCTCAGAAATGCCAACCACAGAATACACCTTGTCTCGGGGATCAGAAGCCAGGCGAGGCCGCAACTCTTCAAGAAGATCACGCAGGCCCCATTTGCACGTTGGCCTCATTTTCTGCCCGAGAAGTTCCGCGTTGTATTCGCTCCCCATCTTGGCGCGCCATGGGATAGACACCATTTGGTTGACCAGCCACATGCCGTTTACACTCCGACTATGGCGGTTGTGTATGACCTCGGCCTTGTAGACGAACCATTTGGCAGCGGCGCTTACGAGATCCCATTGCAGAGTGTACGAGCCATACACGACAAAGGCCTTGCGTGCTTGAATAATCTCTTGCACGGTCCACATTCGTTGATACCAGGGCTTGTCGAAGAACTCGGAGAAGGCATCCCAGGACTCCAAATCATCAAAAGAGACGCCCAGCTCAGTAGATTTCTCCACGGTGTATTTCTCAACCCTTTCGAGCTTCGTAGCTTCGTGTTCTTCGTCATCGACATAGTGGTCCCATCGAAACATGTCCGTAACATTAGGAAGAGCGATTTCTCCAACCTTCTTAACGAAATCAACAGCTCTCGAGGCGGATTCGGTTTCCGGTCCCAGCCAAATGAGGACCGTTTCTGCTTCTATTCACTGTGAGCATGAGGATCTAATACAAAGACGAACAATGGGCATACTGTCATAGATCACATTCATCTTACTGACTTGCCTCGACTTGTCGAATAGATCCCCCTGGTCGATGCATATTTGATCGATCCACAAGGTCTTGTGAGGACTGACTTCAACAATCTCACAAAGTGCCTCGTGGAGTGAAGTCGTGATACTCAGCACCTTCCCATCGCATGGAACGTCGACCCGGGTGGAGGGATCTCCCCAGCAGTAAGACAGCGCCGTGTATTTGATCGGATCGTCTGAGTTCAATGTAACGTGCTGTATGCTCGCTTCTAGCTCGCCTTTCTTCGCCTGAGTAAAAGTCACCAGACGGATTTCCGAGTCCGTCACTGGCGAGTAGGTGTATATCTCAGGACGTGACATGCCAAAAAATATTATCGTGTGGTTTGTGACGTCCTGTTGTGTATTATGTGCGGGAAGAATATTGAAGTCTAGTTGCTCGTCTATCTTGAGGTCAGCGAACGATAGTGTGATTGGGGGTTTGCGGCCGCATATAACTTACATTTGGCGTGGCGGTGTATTGGGCTGACGTGAGAATGTTGCGTGGAAGCTTTGGCCAAAATTGAAGAGAAAGTTGCGAGGCCCAAAATTGAAACGGTCTAATGCAGCTCGGTCCACCTCTAGGCAGCCATGCTCCTGCAAGGACTGCGCTCCTCCATAATGCGCCCTGCGCCCTATCACCATGCATTTTTCTTCAAACTGTGGAAATATGTTCGTTAGTAGCTCTAGTATCAACATTGCTCTACTTCTTCCCGAGTCTTCCATGATCGAGCAAGACATTAATATGGATATCCTTGACACCTGTTTGATAAGTGAATACTTTGACCGCTTCATCTACATTGCTAACCGTGGCTTATTCCCGCCAGTAACTCCTATCAAGTGGCTGTGTAATAGGTTGCAGTTAAGTAGGAGTTCTACGATCCAATAATAATCTTTGTAAAGCTTAGGATCTAAACAAGCCGAGGACGAGAACTTCCAACTAGAAATAGGATAATCGTGAAGTGTTCTACAAGAACAAACAATTCTTAACTCTAAGAAGCTCCATGCTGTATGATCCTATCCCTCATCCTAGCCATTTACAGAGCAGGAACCTCAAACTTGAAGATTTGGCCTTCGGCGGTTGTCACGTATCCTTCTATCCCATCTTCCGCCAGGGTCAATGAGCACGGTCGTCCCATTTCTGCATTCTGCGCAATCTGGGTCGCGGTGCCATTGGGGAACACTCTGACCACGCTGGGGTTCCGTTGCGGCCCTATATATGCGATCCCATGTTGGTCAAGAGCAAAGTCGTCCGAGCTGGCATCGGTAGAGATGGTCTGGATGTCCCCAGACTTCCGCCCGTCTTCAGTGATGGCGAATTTCCCATAGTAACTGGTGTCCGTGTTGACAAAGTACACATAGCCATCGAGAATCTTGAGCCCATTTACACCGGGATTTCCAACTAAAAGATCATCTTGCAGCGTGATTTCTGACTCTCCGCTGGTGATGTTCACTCTAATGACCGTCCCAGCGAGGGCATCAGAGACAAGAACAATATCAGGCTGAGTGGGGACAGTCACCAAGCCATCTGGGAGGTCAGCGTCGATACTGACGGCAGTTTCAATTTCTGGACTCTGGTCGTTGCTCAAATCAACGGTATACACGGTTCCGTTGCTCCAAGGAGAGAGACCTGAATTTGGGATGCCAGCTGCGATGGCATATTTATCGTCGCCGACGGCATCAATGCCAAGGATGCCATAATCTCCAAATGTGGCCACGATTTTACTGGATGGACTTTCTGATTGAATATTGATGTCGAGAAGGATGCCGCTGGTTATGGTGGTGACAAGAAGGTTGCCGTTTGGTCGAATGATGCTGTTCTCGAAGTTGAACCCGGAATTGTTGAAGACCAATGTTGCTGCGCTGATTGATGACATCTTCACGACTGTCTATGAGTATGAGATCGGGTGTCATATGTTTGCAGTGTCAAAGAAATGGATGCACCAGGCGGTTGTTATAACATGGGCATTCGATCAGGGGTTTCGGGTTTGAAACAAGGCATACGCAATCGCCCCTAAAAACAAGCTTCCTTGCCTGGCAACTTCCGAACTTCCAACTGTCACCTGACTACCTATAGAATACATCTTAATCGATATTGCCTGTTAACGATGAGGTATCATGGGAAGGGACCACATACAGGGCAACACGGTTACGGGTGAAGGTCAAGACCCACAGGGGAAAGTAACAGAAGGAACGAGCACAGAAACAGATGGAAATGATTGGAACTCAAAACCAAGAGATCCAGGCCCGTTCTTTCAGTGTTCATCATTTCTTACATTGTGTTGATGGCGGATGCCTTGCCTCGGCGATATCACAGACAGCCTTCATCACAGCTTGTATATCCGAAGGGGAATCAACGGGCAGGGGGATCTCAAAAGGCAATGCTTTCCGAAACTCGATATACGTCGAATCGTACGATTGAATGAAATGAATGCAAACCCCATATTAATACACAGGTGGTTCGTGTGCGCAGAGAGAATGAGAATAATCGTGGCCAATAGGAGTATCTACGAGCACCATATTCACCTATCACCTCCAAATCAATCCAATATTGCTCATCTACTTTGGCGCTAAGATGAAGCAAGAGATTTATCCTATTGTATTTTTTATATCAAAAATTGAGATATCTTTTGAGGCTGAAAACGCCTTTTATGGCTGTGCGGTCGCCAGTCCAACGGTTCTTATCGATAGGCCCCGCCACAACGCGTAAAAAGCTCGAGCGTCAGTCAGCACCAGAATAAGTTGAGTCAAAGTCGGCATAAAGTCATAATTCAGTGATTGGTCTACCCTTTTAGCCACAATATGCAATAAGCCAGTCGCTTTCAACTAGTGACGGCTGCCCCGATAGCTGCCAAAGCTCCCATAAGCGCCAGTGAAGTGTTTTGCCACGTCCCGTCACACGTAAACAGACGACAGAGGCACAAACAAAGGGAGGCACCACGTCAAGCAGCATCCTCTCAGCGACCGCAGGGCGAGGCGTTACATAAAAAGGAGCTTGATTGCGTCCAGCTGGAGAGGGAGCACCCTTCATTTAATCCCTTTCTCACTAACTGCCCGCTGGTGATTTTCCCCCAATTTGCACTCGTGAAACTCGCCGCCTCACCCCGCGTAAGCACCCACCATCAGCGCCGTGGTCATCTCAAACAGGCGGGCCTGTTTACTATCAAAAAGAAGACAGACGATTCAATCATGGATAACTACCAGAAGCTAGAAAAGCTCGGCGAGGGTGAGTCCCCCGGGCGCCCCCAAGATACCCAGCCTAACCTCCATCACAGGAACGTATGGTGTGGTCTACAAGGCCCGCGATCTCGCCCATGGCGGCCGCCTGGTAGCCTTGAAGAAGATCCGCCTCGAGGCCGAAGATGAGGGTGTGCCTAGCACGGCCATCCGCGAGATCTCGCTTCTCAAGGAAATGAAGCATCCCAACATCATGCGCCTCCACAACATCGTCCACGCCGACGGCCACAAGCTCTACCTCGTGTGCGAGTTCATTGATCTTGACCTCAAAAAGTACATGGAGGCCCTTCCAGTGAGCGACGGCGGCCGTGGCAAGGCCCTGCCCGAGGGCTGCTCGGCACAGCTCGCCCGTCTTGGCCTGGGCGACGTCGTCATCAAGAAGCTCATGCTCCATCTGTGCGAGGGCGTCCGCTACTGCCACTCTCACCGCGTGCTGCACCGCGATCTCAAGCCTCAGAATTTGCTCATCGATAGGAACGGCAATCTCAAGCTCGCTGACTTTGGTCTCGCCCGCGCCTTTGGCGTCCCGCTGCGCACGTACACCCACGAGGTCGTGACGCTCTGGTACCGCGCCCCCGAGATCCTGCTCGGCGGCAGGCAGTACTCTACCGGTGTGGACATGTGGTCCGTGGGCTGCATCTTTGCTGAGATGTGCACGCGAAAGCCCCTGTTCCCCGGTGACTCTGAGATTGACGAGATTTTCAAGATCTTCCAGTACGTCGTCCACCCCTAGCTCTGATGAATATGTATTGACTAAGTCTGCTATAGAACCCTAGGGACCCCCTCAGAGGAAGACTGGCCCGGTGTCACGACATATCCCGACTTCAAGGCCTCGTTCCCCAAGTGGGTTAGAAACTCCTCGGTTGAAATTTGCACCAACCTCGATCAGACAGGTCTCGATCTGCTCGAGAACATGCTCGTCTACGATCCTGCGGGCCGCATCTCCGCCAAGGCCGCCGTCAATCACCCCTACTTTGAGGGCCTGCCTGAGGGATCGGCACTAGCTACAGCTTAAATATGCGCAGGGGCAGACGCGGGCACGTAGCGATGAAGAATAGAACATTGGAAGGATACAACAGAGGCAATTTGCTCCAGTTTGACTGCATTCTATCTTTTCAAAAGACAGGCGACCAGAGGGAATAAAGAAGAGGCAAGCAGGGCGTGTGTAGCACATGTTTGAAAAGCTTAACCCTTTGACATTACCAGGCTTATAAGTTTCGCTAGCAATTCACTGCATTTTCTGTTGCACCAAACAACCGGCACAAAAGTCATTGGATTGATGAACGGGATGAGCAGTATCCTTGTAAGCCCTCAACCCGGTAACAAAGGACATTGATTGCACATACACACATTACAGACATTTTCGATTTCCATTTCACCAGCCAGACTCTCGTAAAATAGTAAATTAATTTTACGGAATAATTCTCAGAGATCCAAATAGTATATCATGTCTTCAATAGGGGTACACTATATATTAGTGTTGATTTATTAAGCTCAGAAGCTGTGAATGTAAGGGACCTGGTGAAGTGGGAGATCAAAGTACCGATTGGTGTGCAATGTCTTATGTCACCCACTGGCCCTCTCCTCTCGATGACAATGATTGGCAACGCGTGATGGCTGTGCACGGCGCGTAATATGCATGCTTACGTCCAGCTGAATCGAATATGCCTTGCCTCCAAGCCCCGCCTATAGATTAGGCGTAGCTCTTTGATGCCCAAACTCATATATCTGATCTGCTCGCCGAGAGCATTCAAAAACAGCTACCGTCTGTGTCCGCTTCGAGATTTACCTAGTTTCAGGTACCACTGCCAGATGCACCGGAATACCCCTTTCTGTGCCGATGACAACGCAAGATACTATCAACAGTGCGGATGTGGAGCAACAGGCAATCGGCAAAGCGGCGGCGGCCTTTGCTCAACTTCGCGGGGGCAATGATTTGCTCCAAGAATGCATGAACAACGCAAAGAACGTTTCTGAGCTGGTAGAGTTCATTGAGAAGCGCCACAAGCACCTGGCAGGAAAACCGTCATCCAAACTACTCGCACTTCTTCAAAAGCACGCGACATGGCTGGACAGCTTTTCCGGACTGATCGATGGCGCCGTGGAGACTCGAGCTGATCTCCTCTGCCCCGTGTGGGCGCCTATCCGGCTCTTACTTATCGTAGGGAAAATCCCTTGAACTTCTAAGACTTTTGGTATTTCGGCTATTGACGAGTTTAGGCGTCCAACTTTCACGCCCAGGTTACCCAGCAAATTACTACCGTGATCAACATCATTACCGAGAGCCTGCCCCGGCTAGAACTGTACAAGGAGCTCCAGTCAGACGAAAGCCTTCAAATTGCACTATTTCATATATTTACGGACATTGTGGAATTCTGCGCCCTTACATACAAGTACTTCAAGCGCGGGACGTTAGGTGCGTTTCACTGTGAAATACTCTGAGAGAGATGTAGCTAAACCGCTAATCCAAAACATGAGCAGTGCGCATAGGAAAGCTGATCCTGACACCCCTCAAGACGGAATTCGAAAGGATATGCAAACGCCTCAAATGGCACACCAAGAATGCCCATGATACCGCAGTCGCCGTCGAGCTTTTACGGGCTGCCGACTTCCGAACCAAGATGCAGGCACAGAACACCGAAAATATGAGGTCCAGGTGCGACGCTTGGCTGAACCCGGCGAATATGCTGGGTGTCCATCAGGCAAGGTCCCGGACGAGAGTCGCCGGTACGTGCGAGTGGCTGTTGTCGAGCCAAGCCTACAGTAACTGGCTCGGGAGCCAGAGCGGCCTGGCCGAGGACAGACTACTCGGTATTCTTGGCAAGGGCGGCTGTGGGAAATCCATCCTCTCGTCTTACATTGTAGACAAGACGCAAGAGGAGCATGGCACCACACTGTACTTCTCGTTCTCCGGGGCGGATGCACCTCGCCAGACGCTCCGAAGCCTAGTTCGCTCGTTGGTGTCGCAACTGATTCATAAGCTTGAGTATATGGGCGGGTACGAACTGGTGCATGAGCTGACTATGCAAGAAGGGTACTCAACGGATGATCTGTGGACTCTTCTGCATAAGATTCTCGCCTTGGGCACGGATCCTCTATTCTTGGTTGTTGACGGGGTAGACGAGTGTTCTGAGCCAGCCGAACAGCTAATCGAACACGCCTTGAATGTTCTCAACGCTATTCAGTCTTGCAAGATTGTTCTTCTTGGAAGAGCCCATGTTTCGGAGCTACGAAGCCATAGTAGCAATATCATCGAGATGGACTCCACAGTCATCAAATCCGATTTGCAGTCATTCATCACCATCCAACTCAGCTCAAACACCAGACTTTACAGCCTTGGCATACAGGATTCGATTTCTCAAACACTGCTCGCGAGATCCGATGGCATGTTTCTCTGGGTCAAGCTCATGATTGATGATCTGTCGAGGGCCTCCTCCGTGTCCGAAGTGACCCAAAAACTAGAATGCCTGCCAAGAGGACTTCACGCAGCATACCAGCAAATCATCCAACACCTTGTACAGACTCTGGATGATTTTGAGATCAAAGTCGCACAAAATATTCTCAGTTTCGTCGTAGCAGCAGGAAGGACACTGGACGTCGAAGAGCTGAACTGCCTTCAGGCCCTTTCCTCCCGGGCCAGTGCTGAAGATTATAGCCCAGGGTCCATACGGAATCACGTTTTCATCGACCCGGCCGAGAAATTCTCTCGTGTATGCGGTGGTTTGATTCACATAATAGATGGAAAGGTCACACTGGTTCACATAACAGCAAAGGAGTTTCTACAAAGGCCAGCCAACAAGCTAGAAACTCAGAACTACCCTCAAGCGCTAGACTTTAGGGTTGACCTCGTTCATTCTCATGAGCTGTTAACCACAGCCTGTCTCGACTTTCTGCTGCTCGATGGAGCCGGGATGAGCCAGGCCGACGCACCGCAGAGTCCCACGACCAAGAACATGCGGCTTTTTTTCAAGTATGCTGCAAAGTTCTTTGTCTATCACATCAAATGTTCTGGTCCAATTACTGAGAGCAGACTAGAGAGAATCAGACAGCTCGTAAATTCAGATGGAATGGTTTCTCTTTACGAGCATTATTTTGTACTCATGCTTGAAGATGGTTATTACGAAGATCTAGAAGATGAATTCTCGAGCTTCTTCAAGTGGGCCGAGACTCAGAATCTAGAACTGGGACCACAGAAGTCTATCTTCACTGTTGCCCATGAAGAGTGCATCCAGAGATTTCGGGCTGAGGACTGGCGGACCAAAGAACTAGTGAATCTGCTCACGGGCGAGTCGCCTCTGCCAGAACACCCGCAGCTTGATCCAGCCGACAAGGTGGGAAGCGATGAGGCCGCCGAGAGAGTCTCGGCCCTCATGCACATACTCAAAGAGAGCCAGCAAATGCAAATACTAACCAAAGTCGACTTGCTTCTGAACATGCGATCATTGATCAGGATAAAAGCGCTGACCGATCCTCTTGAGGCACTCTTCCTGTTGATAATGCGGCAAGCGCACCGACTCCCGGCCGTCTTCCTGATGCTCGTTGGTGGCTTCTACCGAGAATTCAAAAAGCCACGACAGGCTTTGGCTGCGTACGAGGCCGCTTTTAAAAATGTAGAGCATCTCGATACGGCACTCAAGTTTGATATATCAAATATTGTCGGCGACATATATTATCATAATCTCGCTGATTACACAAAGGCCGAGGCTGCTTACCGGAAATCAGCATCGGGTAGACGTGAAATGCTCGGGCCTGATCACAAGAAAACGCTACATAGCCTTTTAGATGTAGGACTTGCACAGTACAGGCAGAAGAACTATGTCGCTGCTGAGAAATCATTCCGTGCAGTCATCGGGACCAATGAAGAGATCCGAGGAGATATTTTCACAGGGCGTATCGATCCTGTGGAGTTTTTGGCGCACACCCTGTTCTTTCTGCACAGGTTCAAAGAAACAGAAGCTCTCGACAGGCAGCATCTTGCAAAAAGACAGAGGGAACTTGGAGCTAAAGATCCGAAAACTTTACGCGTCTTGGTAAATTTAGGGCAAACGCTTCGCGCAATGGGAGATTACAAAATGGCCCTCAAATTGGTGCGAGAAGCACTGCAGGATCAAGAGCATGTACTGGGTAAAGAACACCCCGATACTCTCGAAAGCATGTATCAAGTGGCAAAAACATATCTCATGCTAGATCAGGAAGAAGAAGCCAAACAGTTTTGCTTCAATGCTATTGAGAAACAAGTACGAATTATGGGCACGGAGAATGTATTCACGAGAGGAACCATCATTCTCCTCGCCATGATATACACCCAGAAGAGACCGCGTTGGTAGAGACATCCTTTAGCAATCTACAAGATAAATACTGCCCTACCTCCAAGAACTTATTCCATGGTCGAATATGTTAATATGGGGGGAATACAAAAGTTTCAAGACAGCGTATCCGGGTTTCCTTCACCACAATCATGCTGCATGTTTCACAAATGAAGATGAATGGTAAGTTCATTAATTCCATTTCTTGGGAGGTAAGTCTAACAAGATGATGTACAAACAGAAAGTGAAAGGAAAAGGGTGTAGTTTCC